GTTGATGCGTCCAGTCCTGGCTGTGGGCTGGATGCTGTCCTGCTTGTGCTTGCCTAAAGAAGACACACACACACACACACCTCTCCACCACATTCCATCCAGCCTACATTTCATTTCCCCCCATCACCAGTGAGGAATCCCTCAGCGATCACGCCCCAGGGCACGATGCCGAGGCCGCATTCAACTGCCATCGGCAGCAGGTCGTTCTCCAAAGAACGCTCCAGCATGTTGTACCTCGTCTGCAGGGCGATGAACGGGGTCCAGTCTGCACACACACATGTGTTCACAGGGGCGCATGCAGATGCCATGTCTGACCTTTGAAGTGCGCCATGGTGTTTGCCTTCGACATGACCCATGCGGGTGTGTCGGACACGCCGCAGTACAGCACCTTGCCGCACCTGACGCAGTCGTCGAGGGCGCGCATCACCTCCTCCACAGGCGTCCGGTACTCCCACGCATGGATGTACAACAAATCGATGTATCCAATCTGACACACACACACACACACACATCCCAATCACATGAAGCCACTCCCGCACTGCACTGCTTGTATGGAGGCGTGTGCATGCCTGCATGCGCTTGAGCGATGCGTCCAGGTTCTCGACCAGACTCTTGCGGCTGTTTCCAGAAAGGCACTCGCGGCGCTTGTCGGCCCCGTTTTGGGGCATTATGTGACCCAGGTTGAGGGTGTACTTGGTCGCCTGCAAACGAAACACGCACCACCCATCGCACGGTGGGCCGCCCTCCTCTCTGTTGTGTGTGTGTGTACCAGGACGAGGTTGCTGCGCCTCTCGCCGATCATGTCGCCCAGGAATTTCTCAGAATGGCCGCCTGCGAATGGGTATGGTATGTTTGCCGTGTCGATGAAGTTGCCTGACCAAGCACAACAAACCAGGAACAGACCACACATAGAGCGGGGGTACTGTGACTGTCTGACTCACCGCCCTTGCTGTAATAGAGGTCGAAGATCTTCTTGCTCGTCTCAAAGTCACACCCCAGTGCGCAGCCCTCCGCATTGGGGCTGTCGGCGCCAAAAGTCTGCAGTGTCACACACAGTACAGAGCACAAGACAATCTCTGCACATGAATGGCTGATCTCTCTCTTTTCCACACCATGGCGCCGAGGCACAGCGGCGAGACCCTCAGGCCGGATCTGCCGAGGAGAACGTAGTCATCGAGGGCCTTTGAGCAGCCGTACGCAGGCGACACGTAGGCAGGCTCTATCATGGATGGGTCAGATGCAACGACAGATCAGGGATGTGCTGCACTGCACAGATCTCCTTCTCTCGAGAAGAAAGAAGGTTCCCTCTCTAAGCTCGCAAGGCATTCGTCTGGTATTCACACGAAGCCAAAGCGCAGGTATGCGACGACAGCTGGCAGCAGACGCCAACTCATTCACTTTGGATCTGCCTGCTTGCGTTTTCCTTCTTTCTGCAGGTCGTTGCTTGTGTGGTACTTGTGTGTGTGGGATTCGCTGTCACCATGGCGCACGCGTGGTACCATTCCGAGGACCTCCTCACCAGCGGGCTCTGTGAGCTGGTGTTCGCCCTCGTCGTCGTGGGATTCATCCTCATGTACATGTGCATGCAAACACTCCAGAAAGAAGAGGCCAATGCGCGCGGTGACAGGCGCTGTGGATGGTGTGCTGTGCCTGCAGGTCAAGTGGGTTCGGTGTCCGTATCGAATGCGACTGGCAGCGGATGCATGTAGGAAAGCAAAGCGAATCAATCGAGGGGTGCTTCTGGAATGGAATGGATGGCGACTGCTCGTGTGGGTAACCCTCATTGCAGACGGCCCAGCTGGCGTTTGTGATCCACGCGCTGATCCAGATCTCGCTGGGCTACGTACTACCGGCGTGGATGTGGTCAGCCAGCAACAGCCACACCCACAGCAGCACAAGGCACACTGAAGAAATGCACTCGCCATCCGTTTGTGTGTGCGTGTATGTGTCCGTGCAGGTACTACCGAGGCACGTGGTTCAAGATCATCTTCATCATCTTGTCGTGGCTGACGCCCCTGCGGCACTTTGTGGAGGCGCTGTCGGACAAGATGCGGGAGAGCAAGGTGTCCGAGCAGTTCTTCCTCTTCGCCTTCCTCGTCCACTCCATCCAGTATGTGTGGCTGCTCGTCAAGTATCTGAATGACTAAGGCGTTGGGCGTGGACGTGGGCGTGATAAGGCAATTCCCCTCTCTGGGCGTGGATGGGGTTTTCTCACATATGTAGGCCATCGTGCATGATTCCGTCGTACGTGTGGGTGTGTGTATGGGTCTTCCGTGCTTAGCGGCGGTATTGGTGCCGCTGTGTGGCTGGGGTGCCGGGTTTTCTCGTTGAGTGGTGGGGCGCTCGTTTGTCTTTCGTGGGTAGGCTACGTTATTTGCATCGATCATGTTCATGTGTGTGTGTGTGTGGATATGTATATGTATGGTACGTGTACGACTTGAAAGCACCGACACGCATCTTTTTCCCCTCCTCGTCTATTGGTCAACGACGTGTCCCTGTCTGTGAGACTATGAGCGTGGTTGTTGTCTGACATCGGCATCGGGCAGCGCTGGGCAGGAGTGGATCCAAGCAGTTCACATTGCCGAACGTGCCAGCTGGCGAGTTGGGCGATATGTGCTGCTTGCAGATCAACCCTGTTCAGGCGGCGCTTGGGTATGTGTCCGCTCACGAGTCAGACTGACGGACATCCTCGTACATTTGTCTAATGGGACAGACTGTTATACAGCCAACGCGATGCGGGCCTGTTCTTTCTACGGCGGCCGGCGGCCGGGCCAGGTTTGGCCGATTCTTGAGGCCCCATGACGCCCCGACGCGGACAACGATGATGAGCTGGGTGGTGTTGCTGGCCCTGCTGCAATGGAGGGTGGCTGCCTCGTCGAATGAACCAAATGCAACCTACGCACTGCGAGGGATTCTGGCAGCCAGCGGCGATGGTGGCAGTTTCGTTGGTGAGGTCTCACCGGAGTTTAGATACAAGCAGAAGAACCAGCTAAGCGCACACCTGCATCGAGAAGACAGTCAGTTGTGTCTGTTTGTATGCTTGTCTGTTTCTCTGTTTGTCTGTCCCCTGTGTGTGTGCGCAGTTATTTTGTCCACATCACGGACACCCACCTTCTCGTGACGTACAGAGCCGACTACGGCCGTAAGACAGTGCACGGAGTGGAACCAGAATGCGTCGTTGTCTCCCCATGCGTGCAAACGTGCAGCGCCTTGCCACCCCGACCCGCGATACATCAGGAAGAACAAGGTATCCTGTCTGTCTGTCTGTCCGGTTGATGCTCTTGTTATCCCGTCTGTCTGTCTGTCTTGTTGATGCTCTTGTTCAAGTTGACTGGCAATGAGGGCAACCGCTTCTTGAAGCCAGCTCCCGTGGGCAGGATTGGGTGCGATCCCCCCCTTAACCTCGTCATGTCCGTGGCCAAGAAGATCCATCACTTCAGCAAACTGAGGTCCCATCCTCCAAGCTTCGTCATGATGACGGGCGATGTCGCTGGACACGGCATTGACGAATACCAGGTACACACTCAGTCATTTGCACAGACACACACAGACACAGACAGACAGATAGACAGACAGACGCAAATCAATCGTCACAAGTGTGTGTCCTCCTGGCTGCCTTTCTTGCCTTATGCTCATTCAGTTCAAAGACACACTCCGGTCAGGGGGCAGGCACTTCACTGTGTGTGTGCGTGTGTGTGGTTTGTTGCCGTCTCGTTGATCTATTTCTGTCCACCAATGTCAATCTGCCTGCATTTCATGTATGCAGGTTCCGCGCAATACACCAGTTCATCTGGAGTGTCTCATACCAGATCGACCTCGCGAAAGTCCCCTTTGTCTTCTGCCCCGGCAACAACGATTTGTGGTCAGACAGAAAAATGCCTTTAATCCTCCTTCTGCCTCCTTGTTCCAGGTACAACAATTTCATCAATACGAGCCTCACGTTAATCGACATTGATAAGGAGCCAGATGTGATGGAGGTGTGCTGGGGAGACATCCAGTTCATCTTCGATGAAGACCTGACCGTACTGGCGCGCTGCGAGATGGCGCTGCGGCAGGTGGGCTGGCAGCCAGCACTCTGGCACCTTCTCAGAGACTATATCGGGCTCTTCGCCGCCGACAAAGAAGACCAATCGCAGGTACAAGAGTCATGAAAACGACACATCGCCCTTTAGGGCTTGATCACTTATGCGTGCAGACATTCCGGTTGGGCCTGTTCCATGCCGTTGAGATGCCTCCGCCTTCGAGCGTCAGGATCATATCGCTAAATACGATGCTCTGGGGCAAGTACCGCCGGCCGGACGACAAGCAGTTCCCGTGGAACAGGGCGGGCGTCAACCCCGAGTCATGGCCTGACCCCCGTAAGCAAACCGTCTGTTGGTGTCACTTGTGAGTGAATGAAGAATGAATGAATGAGTGTAGTCGGGCAGTTTGCCTTTATTCGGAAGCACTTGGACAGAGCGAAGGCCAAGGGGCAGAAGGTAAGCGAGCTTGGTGGAGTGAGCAGAGACAGCGACCTGATGGAATAATGAGTGAGCGCGCCTTTCCTTCTCGGCTGGCTGTTCGATCTGGCGGAGAGCAGGTGTACATTATTGGTGAGCAGGGCAGACACAGGGAAGCCAATCACATGTCGAATGCTGTGGCTCGTCACGTCAGGTCATCAATTTCCTGGAATTCATGCGTACGAATCGGGCAAGAAATACGTATTCGAGGCGGAATGGCAGGAGTATTACTTCCGCAAGTGAGCGAGCAGCCATTCTTGATGTGTCTCGTGGCTGCACTCACTTCACTGTCTGTGTGCAGGTTCCAGCAGATCATGTATGAATACAGAGACACCATCCCAGCTCTCTTTGCAGGACACATACACGGTGTGTGACACAGGAATGGATGGGGGATGGAATGGAGGAATGCTACACACACTGCTCGCACCCATTACGCCAATAACGATGTCTCTCGTGCAGGCGATTCCTACCGAGTACCATACTTCAAACCAGACATGTCTCCGGCCGCCGCCGGTACTGCCGCGCCAGGAGAGGGGACGGAAATGTGGGAGTGGCCTCCCTCCGCCAGAGAAGTATCATCCCGAGCTCCAGCAGCTGCCGCCCATTTTCATCGGAGGCGCCATCTCCCCCAACCTAGCCAACAATCCGATGTACGTATTTACGCATATTCATGGGGCTGAATGGTGTTTGTGCTCGATGGACCGGCTGGCTGACCGATCAGGTTTGCCGTCAGGGAATACAACCCAGAACACAAGTAAGCGGACAGCCAACACACGCACGCCGGCCACCGGTGCCTTCATTGCATACCGAAACACATATGCGCACAGAAACATCGTGGATTCGTTGGGCTACTACCTGCCACTGGCGCAGAGCAACAATTTCGCTAGTCGGTTTGTGGAGTCCCGTCCGCACCTGGTGCTGCTTGAATGTTCACTCCGAACTTGCCCATCTCAGGTCGGCGGCACGACATGGACATAACGGCTGACGACTGGGCATTCGAGTACCGATTTACCGTAAGCACGACGTAAGCTCGACCGGATGTACCTTATCTCTCTCCCTCTCTCTCTCCCTGTGTGTGTGTGTGTGTATGTGTCTGTCTCCGTGTGTCTCTGTGTGTGTGTGGATATATCTATCGGTCTACAGGACGCCTACAACGTGCAAGAAACGGACCCCAACACCCTCACCCACCTCGTGACGCGCATCTCGGATGCCAGGAGCAGAGAAAAGGCGTACGTCAGCCCATGAGACACAAGCACCAACACACACGAACCTTTCTGTCCGTCCGTCTGCCTGTCTCTCTCTCTCTCTCTCTGTCTGTCGTCTGTCTGCGTGCCAAAGCATCTTCTGGAATTACTATTTCGGATCACCCAACTTCCCCCACATGGAGTGCATCATGACCTCCCTCGGCTCATACGATGGTGATTGAGGCACTCACTGTGATCGATCTCCTGCACCTTCAATTCTGGAATCTCTGCGCCACCTGCAGGCGGCTACTGCCCGTTGGATGTCGACTATAGCCCCAAATCATCGTGGCCCGGAGGCGGTCAGAAGGGACCGGGTTTGGACGCGCTGTATGCCTGATTGAGCGGCGGAGCGAGTGAGTAAGACATACATGTATGAGCTTTGTGACGCTTCGCGGTTGAGTAGCTGGGCCTTGTGCATTAGATAGACGATTGCAGCTAGGCCTGACTTGACAGTCTGTCCAGCTTCACCCAACCATCAAAGCACCCTCTCAGGACAAGAAAAAGAGCGGGTGACCATCTCGGTCACTCACGTCACTCACAGGCCGAAGAAAGCCTTGGCCGCCTGCTCGTCCATCTGCAGCTGTGCCTTGAGGGCCTCGACACCGCTGAACTTCTGCTCTGGGCGAAGAAACTTGAGCCACTGGACAATGATGGTGACGCCGTCTCCCAGATCCGTCTCGTCCACATCAAGGAGATGCACCTGGGGTATGGGTGACATACATCACCTCAATGAAGGACCCCGGCATGTTTGTCTGTCGAGGGGTGGTGCAGTGGGGGCTGTGTCTGTCGTTGCTCACTGACCTCGAGGAGCGGTTCAGGGTCTGCCTCGTTGACGGTGGGACGCAGGCCGTAATTCGCCACGCCGGGGTGGCCCTCATTCCCTGCACCGACCCCACCGATAAACGAAGGAAAGACCCACACAGACCCACATTGTGACTGACATCACAAAATGGACGAGCAGGCTTGGCATTGCGCGTAGCGTACCGGGTGTGCCGTGTTGATCCAGGCGTGTCACACGGACGGCATACACCCCATAGCGAGGCCGCGACTCCTCAGGAGGTGACCACCTGACCGACCAGTCAGCCATGCCATTGATTGACACACACACGCAGGCACAGCACACCGCTTCTTCGTCACCACTCACTGTTACCTAATGTTGAGTGTGGGGAAGCCGATGGTGCGGCCGAGGCGCTTGCCGCCCTGGACCAGACCTTTGGCAGCGTCGGGCAGCTTGTCGTTGCTGGGCGGGGCTGCTGATGGGGGAGTGGGTTGGGGTGGGGGTGGGGGTGAGGCTGGTGTATCCCCTCCTGTTGCTGCTGTCTCGTCGTTGGGGTGTGCGAAGCACCGGACGGACCGCTGTGGGGGACTGTGTGGTGAGCGGGTGCTTGTGAGCTGAAGCAGGGAGCGATGGTGGTGGGCGAGACCGATACCTGAAACACACAAGACACAGACAGAGAGACACAGGATGACAAATAAATGAGTAGCGACGGTCCGACCCTCCTGTGGGTGCAACGGTAGGGTAGGCAGAACGGACTATGGACTGGATGGGTTGCTGTGCTAGTGTGAGTGACTGCCAGGGCAATAGCTACAAGTGGCATGTCTGTCTCCAGATGGCAGGCATTAAGCTTGACTTCACGTGACTGACGCATGGCATGTGTGAGGCAGCTTAGCTTGCAGCGCTCGCAGGAAGTCACATTGACATCAATGCGATCGATGCGATAGATAAGATAGACACGATATACCCAACACACACACAGCCCCACGCCGGCCGATTAACCAAACCCATTGGACACACCCACACTTACACACACTATACAGATCGACCATGACACGCCACACATCCACACATCCATCCATCCATCCATAGACAGACAGTGTAAAAGAGCCACATGTGCGGGTGGGTCGGGTCAGTCAGTAGTCGAGGTCTTCGATAGCCAGCTGCTGCGCGTTCTGCGATATGAAGTCCTTCCGCTGCACCACGTTGTCGCCCATCAACACGCCCACCAGACGATCCGCCTGGCCAATCACACACACAACACACACATGGAAGTCTTCGCCACACACGAGTTGCGAATCACCGACGACTGACCTGCAGGGCGTCATCGACTGTGACTTTCTTGAGGAGCCGTGAGTCGGGGTTCATAGTCGTGTCCCACAACTCCAGTGCCATCATCTCACCCAGACCCTTGAAGCGCTGCACGTTCACCCCACTCAGGCCCTCCAGATACGCCGCCACGTCGTCATCTCCCTCTCCTTGGGTCGTGACAGGTGCCGGTCTGTTCTGCAGCCGCCTGATCTTCTCCAGCACGTCGATCAGCTCCTCCTGTGTCCAGGCATAGCTCTCCGTGGGGCCTTTCTTGCCACCGCCGCCCTTTTTCTTCTGTGGCTGTGGTGGCCGGTTGGCGGCGGCTGCTGCCATGCCGGGTAGTGGTGGGTGGTTGACCTTGTAGAGTGGGGGGCATGCGATGTAGACGAACCCGTCCTGGATGAGGGACCGCTGGTAGCGGTAGAAGAAGGTGAGGAGGAGCAGCCGGATGTGGGCGCCGTCGACGTCGGCGTCGGTCATGATGATGATCCGGTGATACCTACGCACACACACATGGAGGGAGAAAAGCGATGCTGGGGATGGATGGATGGTGCGTGTGTGACGGACCGGGTCACCTGAGTGTGGATTTGTCGAATTGCACGTCGTCGTCTCCCTCTCCGTCTCCTGACGCCTGCCGGGGGCTCTGCTGCTGCCCGTTAACCATCACACCCAGACCCAACGCCGCAATCAGCGCCTGCCCGTGTCCAACACACACATACACACACAAACTGTGGATGTGTGTCAGCATTGATGTCTTCACGACCCACCCACTGCGGACCTGGAGTTCTTTGTTTTGGTATATCTTGTTCTCCATGGCGACTTTGGCGATGTTGAGGATCTTGCCACGCAGCGGCAGGATGGCCTGCGTCCGCCGGTCCCGACCCTGCACACAAACCACACACGCCACACACACCGACACCGACAGATGAGCACGGAGCCACCCACATGTGTGTGTGTGTGTGTGAAAAAGTCGCTCAGTCTGACTTGCTTGGCCGATCCGGCAGCCGAGTCGCCCTCGACGATGAATATCTCTGACTCTTCGGGGCTCTGGTTGGAGCAGTCGGCCAACTTGCCTGAGGAAGAAAGAGCAACACTCAGACATACAGTCTCTTGTGTGGCTGTGCTGTGTTTGTGTGTGGTCATGGTCATGAATCGTCACCTGGCAGCACAGTCGTCTGCAGGAGAGTCGACTTCCGCCTCACCAAGTCACGGGCGGCACGCGCTGCCTCAGCAGCAGCCTTCGCACTGGCCGCCTGCACACACACACACACACAAACCACACACCCATCCCTCCCTCCCTCCCTCCCTCCCCAGTTTGGCCGCCCACCACCCACCTTTTCCACGATGTTTTGCAGCAGCTTCGGCTGCCATTCGAACACCGTCGTCAAGTACTCCACCATCATTGCGTCGACCAGTGTGCGGATCTCAGGGTTGCCCAGCCTGTTCTTGGTCTGCCCCTCAAATTCAGGGTTGGGCACCTTGACGCTGACGATGCACGTCAGTCCCTCCCGGATGAAATCCCCGCCGAGGGTCTCCGCAACGCCCCCCGTAGAGCCGCCTCTCTTGGCGAGCTGTGGGTTCTTCTTGATGAAGTTGTTGATGACCTTGGTGAGGGAGGTCTTGACGCCGTCGATGTGGGTGCCGCCGTCCTTGGTTTTGATGCCGTTGACGTAGCCGATGAGGTTTTCTCGGTATTGGTCGGCATACCACCCCAGGGCCACCTCCACACCGACGCCGTCACGAGATCCGGACAGACTGACAGACAGGCGGAGATAGAAAGAAAGGTCAAGCAAGAGTGTCTGTGTGTCTGTGTGTGTGCGGTGGGATGGCTCACAAGAGAACATCGCTTGTGGGGCTGGGCGTGTCCGGTGGTGTGTCAGTAGTCTTGTTTTTGCCGCTGCTTGCCGGTGTCTGTGCGGCGGGGTGCAATGACGTCTTGCCCTCACACATCTTGTGCAAGTACTCCACCAGTCCACCACTGTGGTGGAACACATCTTCCCTCCTCGGCTCGCCGTCTCCCACACCCACACCCACACCACCATCAGCACCCTTTTCTCCTCCCGCCGTGGCCATTCCCTCATCGCCCGCTGCCGGCTCCTCATCTGCATCCCCATCTGCCGGCTCTCCCTGACCTCTCTTGAGTCTCGACGCCACATAAAGAGGGTCTCTGAAGTCTCTGAGCGTGATGGTGAGCCCTGGGTTGAGGTAGGTGAGCTCGTCACACCTGCCCTTGAGGCGGTCGTAGTCGAACACCAGGTGGGCCTCCTTGAAGATGGAGGGGTCCGGGAGGAACCGCACGGTGGTGCCGCTGGTGTGTGTGGCGTGGGAGGGGCTGGGGCTGGCCTGGGCCTGGAGGGGGGTGGTGACCTTGCCACGCTCGAAGCCCATGCTGTAGCTATGGCCGCCTCGATTGACCTGCACTCATCGCACGGACACACGCCATGCACACGCCGGACAGGTGCATCCCTCACTCGCCCACCCACCCACGTACCTGCACGTCGAGCCACTGGCTGAGTGCGTTGACCACACTGACGCCCACCCCATGCAGTCCACCAGACACCTTGTAACCGCTCGTCACTCGCTGCTGCTGGCTGCCGCCCTTCTTGCCCTTTCCCTTGCCGCCTTTGCCCTTGCCGGGCTTCGCACCAGCAGCAGCGGTCTCGTCGAGCATCTGTTCGTCGGGCGGGGCGTTGCCGAACTTGCCGCCCGCGTGGAGGACCGTCATGACTGTCTCGAGGGCGGATCTTCCGGTCTGCCGATGGATGTCGCAGGGGATGCCGCGGCCGTTGTCACTCACACTGACCGACCTGCACCAATCACACACACCATGACAGGCAGGCAGACGTGTGTGGCGTGGGGTGGGTGGGGAGGGTACCCACCGACCCGTCAGTGTGGAGGTTGATGTGTATGTGGTTGCAGTGTCCCGCGAGTGCCTCGTCGACGGCGTTGTCGACCACCTCCCACACCAAGTGGTGATAGCCCGTCACACCGGTGCTGCCGATGTACATACCTGCACAGCACACATCAGACATGACATCCATTGAACAAAGGGAAAAGAGGGATGGGTTCATGGCCTGTCGTGTTGTGCTGTGTTGTGTTGTGTTGTGGCTGACCTTGACAACCACAAACAGGAGGGAGCAGGGACAGGCACGCACACACAGACAGACAGACAGACAGACAGACAGGGACAGGCGAAAACAAGAGAGAGAGAGAAACACGAGTGAAGCAGCGTAGGGTATGCCACATAACACAACAATGTATACCATCAACACGTGCACACATACATCCCATCCCTTCAACACAACACGCCTTTCCACACACAGGCAGTACCAACGGACCGATCTAGGCACACACACGTGCACTGCTATGCTACCCAACTACTTGTCACTCAGGTTTTGAGCGAATGAGTTTTCGGCAGCTACTTGAATTACTTGATGAAATGGATGGCGTATGTACTTGTGTGTGTGTGTGTGTGTCCCTTCTCCCTCCCCGCCCCTCTCACCTGGTCTCTTCCTGACGGGCTCCAGCCCCTCCAGCACCGTGATCTGGTCTGCAGTGTACTCGTCAACCAAACCAGCAGCGGCTCCATTCACCAAGACACCGCCATCCACACCCACACCCACACCCACACCAACGTCAGCCAGAGACGACGGCCGTGGCGGCAGGACATCGGCTGTCTTAGCTCTCGCTCTGGCCGGTGGCGGCTCGATAGACGCAGTACTGGACCTGGCGAAGCGGCGACACGACGGGGAACGGGACAGCCGCCCGCATGACGATGGCATCGCTGGGGAGGAGGGGGGGGTGAAGGAATGGGAGAGGGCAGACATCATCAGAACCATCAATGTCAGCATCGGCAGCCGTGGAGCGATGAGTGTGGAAGCATCGGATGCCCTCCTGTTGTTCTGTCGCCCGCTGCCGTCACGATAAGCAAGGGAAGGTCCTCCTCCCGCAGTAGCTCCGGATCGCATCGACGAGCAGGCTGAGGATGAGCATGAGAGATGGGTCATCTGGTGCGGGGAGCGCCTTCGGCACCTCAGCAGCAGCAAGATCTCCGCCTCAGCAGCACATGATTCATGAGTAGCGGTGCAGCGCTGACGCCGAGTGCTCCTCCTCAGGCTGGTCCTCAGGCCCAATAAAGCGGTTCAAAGCTTGCATCTTCCCACCTGCGAGCTCAGCTTGCAGACGCCAGAGGGAGATAGCGGCAAAAAGGCAAGCAAGGCTGTCTATGCATCAAGCAGTGTCATGCGCATCGCATACCGTTGTGATCGATCTTTGCTTTGCTTGTGTGCAGGAGTGTGTCACAGTGTCTTGTGTGGACCGATGGCTCATCCAAGTGCACCAAGGGACAGATCAGCAGCAGCAGCAGCAGCAGCAGCACCAGCACGATGCTGCCTATCTTCTGTCGTCACCATCCTGGTGGTTTGCCTGAGTGTGCTAGCGAATGCCGTCACCTGTTCGTCCTCATTTGGCCCTTCATTATTCACGTAAGTAAGGCGGCGAGATGCACTGCACTCACTGCAAAGGGACCGGTACGTAGGACCTTCATGCGCTGGTCGGTCTGTCGACTCAGATCCCTCCCAGCAGCGTTTGTCAGCGGTCCTCGCCTGTTGCCCTTGGCCTTGCACAGGCATCGTCCGTCGTCTTATCATCGTTCGCCCGTGAGGATGAGCAGCAGCCCTCGGTCCGGTGGTGTGGACAGTGTGGCGCCGCAGACCACACCCACCAGCAGCCAGAGCACCACCAGCAGCGGCAGCAGCCAGAGCAGCAGCAGCCAGAGCAGCAGCAGCAGCGACTCTGTTCATGCACCGCACAGTCATGTGTCGACTGGGAGGGAGGGGATTGAGGAAGGGACAGATGAGCAGGCCAACCCGATACTGGAGGTGAGCTGAGTGTGTGTGGTCAGGGAGGAGGGCCATTCGTGTGTGTGTGTGTGTGTGTGGATGCAGCGTCTTCGCCAAAGGCGAGCCGACGGGGCGGCCAATGACTTCTCGCCCCTGGAGGACTGGGCTATACTGGTAATCATCAGCTGAGCAGCTCCCACGCACACACCCTCCCTCCCTCCCATGTGTGTGTTCTTGTTTGTGTGGGTGCGTCAAATAAATCAGGACAATGTTGAGAAGTACCTGACATTGGACGGGCAGTCCGTGGCGTGGCGGCGGATGGCGCAGGACGTCGAGGACTTCCAGGTGGCGAAGCGGAGGCCTATCGAGCTCAGGGACAGGTGGACCCAGGTACTGACGCAAACACCGCCTCGTGTGCTGTGTGTGCCTGTGTATTGACATTGTCTGTTCTGTGTGTCTTCCCCCCCCAGTTGGTGCGTGATCCGTCAGCGTTGGGCGACCGGCCAGAGTCTCCGGAGGTCAACCCATTCAAGAAGAGCAAGACCCCAAAAGTCGCCGAACCACTCTCGCCAAGGGTCAGTCAGTCACAATATCTACCAGTCACCCAACCTATACACCAGGCTGGCTGGCAGACATGTGTGTTGACTGCACGTGTGTATGCATTTTGCCTGGCTGCAGGACGAGAAGGACCTGCAGAACCTCTCCACCATCCACCCAGTGAGTGAGTTGTGGGCCAACACAGTAGACACACACACACTCACACACACCCACACCTACGTGTTTGTCGACACATCAATCCACACAGATACTGGAGGAGTGGGAGGAGCTGCCCGACGGCCGCTACCAGGGCCTGCTCGTGGGGGAGCGGGGCGTCGACATCGGATCCAACATCGCCACTGAGTTCGTGCCGCAGGAACACCGGACTCTCTACTACATCAAAACCATATCAGGTGCGCTGCCACACCGAGTCGCCCTTGACAAGCCGGCAATGAGTGTGTGTGTGTGTGTGTGTGGTTGTAGGTAAGATATACGAGTTGGGCATGAGCCGCGCGGAGGCCCGCCTGATGGACGAGGAAGATGCAATCACATTCGTGGAGCTCTTCCAGATGCTCAAGCAGAGACCCCTCGTGGTCCGTCAGTCAGTCCTGAAACCACATACACACCCCTGCCTCTCATCGATGTCTGTCTGAATGGCATGGATGCAGGCGGCGGGCATAGCGACGGCCGGCGCCGTGATCATCGGGCTGCAAGTCTTCTTGGCCTCACTCTCTGTGCCCCCCTCAATCGTGACGACCGACCCATCCATCCCCACCCTGCCCTCCGACCTCCAGCCGACAGACTCGCCCTCGTCGCCACAGCAACTGGGGGGTGGCGGCTCTGGGGCCACGGCCAAGCGGCTGACGCTGACGATTCCTCGAAATGGCGGGCCGAGGATCACCATGGAGGAGGGTGAGGCGCCGGTTGAGGGGGAGGATGTGTCTCTGTTTTCGATAGAGACGCTACTCATCCGACCTGACAGCAACAAAGAGGTGAAGAAAGAGGTCTTCCCCCCATGTATCCGATGCACGTGTATGTGTGTGTCGTGTCGGTGTGCAGGGTGGAGGCTTAGGCTTGCTGCCGGATGACACGTTCGGTTCCCGCATCCGTGAGAAGATCCGTTCTGACGCGCAGCGGTTTGAGGAGCAGATGGGCCGTGAGAGGGCGCGGATCGAGGCTGACATGGAGGAAATGAGGAAGGCACTCATGTGACCGACTCATGTGACTGATGTGACTGACGACCACGTGTGGCGTACTTACAAACAGGCAGGCCGGCAGATAGAGAGCGAGAGGTTTTTCTGTGTGGAAAAGGTGCATGCCACTGCATGCCTCTGTGTGGTGTGGTGTGATCTAGCGAGAGAGAGGGAGAGAGAGAGAGAGAGAGAGAGAGAGAATAGGACGAATAGAGAGTAAGGCGGAGTGAGTGG